CTTCAGGAAAGTCCATAATCACCTTCTTGCACTAGCTTTAAAAAAAAAAGTGAAGATCAATTATCTCTTCCACATACACACTGCTTCCTCTGGGATCAGGGGCTTCTTTAGTCCCTCTGGTTCGGAGACATATTGCTCAGCCACTTCCCATTTGCCATATGGGAAACCAAAACAACTTGCCTTCCCAGATCCTTAAGAAGCCTGTGTACTGTTCCCTCCCACCTCTCTGCCTTATTTCAAGAGTGGAGTCAAAGACACACTCATGGCTGATCCAGTCTGTGTGTTTTCTCCGGGAAGAAGTCTGTGTTTACGTGTGTGGGCTCAGACTCGGGACATATTGCAGATGGACAGGATAGGAGTGCTGTATATCATCAGTGGATGAGTTTGGGTTTTCTTTCAGTGGTGGGTTGACCCTGGCTGGACCCCAGACATCCACTAAAGCTGCTCTAATGCTCCCCTTCTCAGCAGGATGGGGGACAGAAAATATAACAAAAGGCTCTTGAGTCAAGATAAGGACAGGGAGAGATCATTCACCAATTACTGTCACAGGCAAAACAGACTTAACTTGGGGGAAATTAATTTCATTTATTACTAATCAGATCAAAGTAGGGCAATGAGAAAATAAAACCAAATCTTAAAACACCTTCCTCCCACCTTTCCCTTCTCCCTGGGCTCAGTTTTGCTTCTGATTTCCTTTACCTCCTCCCCTCCAGCAGTGCAGGGAGTTGCAGTCAGTTTATCACTTGTTGCCTCCGCTGCTCCTTCCTCCTCGGGGTGAGGACTCCTTACACTCTTCACCTGCTCCAGCGTGGGGTCCTACCCATGAGAAACAGTCCTCTACAAACTTCTCCAGTGGGAGTCAATCCCACAGGCTGCAGTTCTTCATTAACTGCTCCAGTGTGAGGTCCCTCCACAGGGTGCACTTCTTCAGGAACAGACTGCTCTAGTGTGAATCCCCTGTGGAGTCACCAATCCCACCAGCAAACCTACTCCAGTGTGGGCTTCTCTCTCCATGGATCCACAGGTCCTGCCAGGAACTCCAGCATGAGCTTCCCATGGGGTCACAGCCTCCTTCAGGCATCCACCTGTGGGGTCCTCCACAGGCTGCAGGTGGATCTCTGCTCCACCATGGACCTCCATGGGCCGCAGTGGGGACAGCCTGCCTCACCAGGGTCTTCCCCACAGGCTGCAGGGAAATCTCTGATGCCTGGAGCACCTCCTCCCCCTCCTTTTGCACTGACCTTGGTGTCTGCAGGGCTGTTTCTCTCACATATTCTCTTTCACTCCTCTTTCTCACTGCAGTTACCCTTCATCCCTCACACTCCTTTACTATGATATCCCAGGGGCTCTACCACCATCACTAATAGGCTCAGCCTTGGCCAGGGTGGGTCTGTCTTTGAGCTGTCTGGCATTGGCTCTATGAGACATGGGGAAAACTTCTAGCAGCTTTCACAGAAACCAGCCCTGCAGCCCCTTCATGACTAACAACTTGCCACGCAAACCCAGTACTATTTTCTGGTGAGCTTTTATGGTTTTAGCAAAACATGAGCAGTCACAGGGGTGAGGAGAGACCTAAGGTATGAGTATTCAAGGGTCGCAGCCGCACAAGATGGCTTAAAGGCCCAGTGTGGTGCCACCAAATACAGCTTTGCTCTCGTGGGGGGCATTTTCTATCAGACACAGAAGATGATGCTTTCAAGTCTCAGGCTGTTCAGGAAGCCTGAGTTCCAGCTGGAAGTATCTATGCACCGCAGCAGTTACTCAGCTGAGCCTCACAGAACTGGGATATTGGACCAGACAAGCTTCACCTTGTCAGGTGTATCTGTGCAGACAGGCTATGGCAGATGGCTCAGTGACTTGCTGCAAGTCAACCATTAGAGAGGTCAGGAGAGCACATGACCCACGTATGTGCTGTGGATGACATCTGACTGATGGTACTTGTCACCAGGGGACTGTAGGAGCTGTATGTTCTATAGACCTCTGGTGTTTTGAAATTATGTTTATTTTTCCCATTCTCTACCGTGTATCTTAAACACTTCATATCAAAAAGTCCAATTCAGCTTTTCTAATGTCCTATCTGGGTTCAAGATGTTTTATTCTCATTTTAGTCACTTAATCTATGAAGTGGTGTTATGTCAGCAAGGTGTTTGGCCACGTCCTGCAATGCAGAATATTATCCCTAAATCCAAAATGCTACTGGGGCTTCCTGCGTTCAAGATGGAAGATCCTGAAGCCAATGAAGGCTGTAAGATGTAGCAAAAATAGTCAGTTTCCAGAGCCCTGTGATTACCTGTCTATCTACTTCTCTGGCAGCTTCAGTAGAGTCATGTCTTAGACTTTCACAGGTCTTACAGCAAGTCATGCATCATTTTAGGATAGATTTATTAGGTTACATAATTTGTAATGAAAATTTTCAAAGCCCCTTACTTGAAGCATTCTTCAGCATCTTTTCTGTTGTTGCATATCCAAATGACTTGACAAAAAGGTCTTTGCTGGGCAGCACTTCCCAATATGAACCCAGGTAGCACTCCATTAGGTTTGTCCATAAGCACACCAGAAATCCCATCTGAAAACTTGTAGCTGGTTGATGCTTTCTTATGGGAAGGACAGTTTCTTAAAAAGTGCTTATAAATTTTTCCTGTGTCAGATTCAGTCTATAAAGCAGCTGAAGCTGTTGTATATGGCTCCAACAAACCTTCAGAGCTTTCAGGGCAGCAGCATGGTAAATATGAACCCAGATTTCAGCTGGGAGCTTGCTGTTTTTTTCACAAAGTAAATTTCACAGAAGACCCAGTAGGGATGTTTGGGAAACCAACCTTGTAATTCAAATGAGTCTGGAGGTTTTGCTCATAACTAAAGAAAATGCAGATTGCTTCAGGGTCTGTGAATCCCTTTCCATAACTGTAGAAATAAGCATTCTTGTAGAGCACTGCTAACAGTGTGCCATGTTGTAGTTTCTCTTTGGGAGAAGATCCAGTTCCACCTCAGTTTGTCTATGCTTGAAAGGGTTCAAAGATCAAATCCTGGCTAAAGGTCTACCATCTGCAGCAGTATCCCTATAGGTGTTCCCAGTATTCCTCAGTGCTGCTTTTGCTTTTATTTCCAAGTGTGAAAAGCTGACATATCACTGATGAGATCCAAAACTGCAGACAAAAAAGGAAGACTGGTGTTATGGAATTGGGATGCAGAGTGACACCTGTAGTGTCCCAAATGCTATACAGCAGAACATTTTAGTGCTGTACATGTTCTCATCACTGAGGACTCCAATGGGGACCTCCAGCAGGAGCAAGTCCTTCTCCCTTAACTTGGAACACAAAGGCTGAACCCCAATCTCTTCTTTCAAGACCTGCTTGTGCTGAAAAAGGGCACCACCCCGAGCGAACAAGCAGCACAACCAAACATAGCTCAAACTGATACCTCTCAGCGTGGAGGGCGCACCTTTTGTTGCTTTTCTTGATCTCGAACGGATTTATTACTGGGAGAGGGATCGCTGGAGTCCTTTACGCATAACTTTCTTGCCTCAAGGGCCCCCTGGTGGCACAAAACCTGACATGTCTGTAAATACTTAACCGAAGAATTGTGAGAAGCCTTCATCTGCGTCTCCCTGTACTCAAAACGCCAAGCATAGGGCATGCTGTTAGCTGTCTCTCAGAGTGGAGGAATCGGGGATGGCTCTGATCACACCGCTGGTGAACCTGTAGAACTGAGAAGTCTGTGTGTGGTCAGTTACAATCGGATTTGTCTTGGCTGAGTGTCCACAGGTCGACTTGAACACACACGAGTGCCTCTCTATCCTCCAGGAGACATGGTCCTTTGCCTGGAGAGTCCAAGGCAAGTCTAAGGGACCTCCACTAGAAAGACACATATACATTTTGGTCCCTTTCTGAGTAGCATTCCCTCCCTTATTGGATCCCCTGGGTAGAGCCTTGGAGTGTGTCTGTTCTTAGGAAGTAGGGGCCCATTTTTCTCACTGTCTACAAATCTGGTTGGTGATGAAGAACCTATATTGGACACCCAACAGCAGAATAGGCTCCTGAAATCACTGCAACTTTCTGGAGAACCTGTTTTAGGGTTGTCAGTTGTAGAACTGCCTTGGGGAAACAAACTTCTGGGTTTATCTGGAAGGTTCACAAGTCCCCAGACAATCACAGCAATTGTCTCCAGTATCAGTGTTGCACTGCATTGCACTTTAGGGCACTGCTTGGACACTCCACTTCTCCCAGAGCCATTTACAGATATCAGCCACATATTGAGTGTAATTCTATGTGACAACAATAGCATTTTAAAAGTTTTCTGTCATTTCTACCCTTAGTACAGTTTCTCATCCACTCAGTTGTGCTTGGGCAGCTACCTGTAGGAACCTGCCATAGAAGTAATTTTAGTTGTTCCCTGTTCTAATTACACACTCACAGTTTCTTCTCTTCCTCCTTTAATACCAAAATTATACATTGGTCTGTCTTAGAACCCCATGAAGAGCCGTATTTCAGGAATTGTTCAGGGAGCAGTGAGTATGTAGCCAGGGGCTGTCATTCCCAGTGGCACTGGGACAGGAAGGCAAATTTGGAAGAGTCTCTTGGGTCAGTTTCCTCATGAGAGCAGCTGTAAGGTGGAATCTCACCCTCGAGCACCTGGCAAAGTTTCCAAGTTATCTTCTGACCCTTCAATGAGCATGCCCCTTCACTTTGAGGATGTCTCTGTTTTTTATATCCACCCCAAACATTTGTTTTTCACAGACCAGGAAATGCTGTTACTGTTGGCTTGGTTATTTTTTTTTCCTTTTGAATAACTACTCTTGAGCCAGTATGACTGTAGCCTCTTTTTCCATTATTAAGGCTTCTGAACTTTACCTTGGCTCATGACCGGACCATATTGCCCATATTTCCTCCTCTGCAGAAGCTCATCTGGTCTTACAGTTCAAACAGGGGGCATACAGAGCTCTTGGGGTTACCAGTCCTTCAGAGTGACTTTTATTTTGACTTAATAAGCAACACATAGAAGAAAATTATAGTAATAATAATAAAAAAAAACCAGACGTGAAAAAATAGAAACCCCTCTATCTCCTTCAAGTCTGGAACAAATGAGCCCTCTAAGCACCTGTATCTAGGGAAAAAACAACCAGCCCCTGCCAAACTCAGGGGAAAGTCCCCACACCCACATGCCATCACCACCTCAGTTCATTTAAGTCCAGGAGCTTTTTCCTTCCTTTTCCCTGTGGGTTATGTGCCTCAGCTCAGGAGTTATGCTCCTCCACTGTTTTCCTCTACTGGAGTTTTCTTGCAGAGCAAGACCAGCTGGCTTTTATTTTTGAGTCTTAAAAAAGGTACTCATGAACTCTAAGGGAAGCCCTCTGGTCAGGGCTGTAAGTAAGGGAAAAGCCTAGGGAAATACGAATAGATAGTGCTTTATTCTCATGATGGTGATCATCTAGCTTGGCTCCCTCATTCCTGCAGAGAGTCTCATATCCTAGGGCTGAGCAAGAGGATGCCATCGACCGTTTTTCACGCCAAGAGTCTGCAGGTGGTGAAGAGGCCACTACCAGAGTTCTTCCCATGTCAGGGCCTTGATGTGAAAAACATGTATCTAATTTTCAGCCAGATTTTTGGTTTTAATTTTGAACCTCTGGTCCTCCTTATGTTCCTCTACTGGAGTAGAGAATCTACCTCTATTTCACATCTTCTTCTCATGGGAAGAAAATATCAAAGATGCATTGTAAGAGCATAAAAATGGTCGTACCAATGGTCTCTCTATGGTGCTCTGCTATGGCCAATACAAGATCCCTAAGGAAAGGCATTGAGAATCAAGGCATCATGTAGAAGCTTCCTGCAAGCAAGAGTCAAGGACATCCTGAGCTGGCAGTCATACCAGGTCATCACATTCAAAAGCCAGTGAGGAACTGATCCTCCACAAATTACCTAATCTGTATTTGAAGTCATTTATACTCCTGCTCTCCATAACATCCTAACATCCTCTAACAATAATTACACTATCTTTGTGACATGCAAAATGAATTTCCTCTTGTTTGCAGTAAAATTGCTGCCTGAGCTCACCACTGTTTCCTTCAGATTAGGTAAAAGAGATCAAGCATCTCAAGTTTATTCATTTCAAAGCAAGATCTTCAGGCTCCCAAGTCAGAGTTGGTTTGGTTTTATTTTTGTACCACTCTGCTAAATCCTTTTCCCACATCCATTTTCAAAATATGGACACGTTCCAGTAACTTGTGCTGTAAACAGAGGTAACACAATCTGTTCACTCCATGAGATCCCATCTAATACAGCATGTATCATCTATCTCCCTCCCTGGAGCCTTGTCTTCCCAGGATACTGTATTATGTTGCGGAAGTGTGATTCCACATACTTTGTTCCTCCATGTAGAACCTTATGTTTTAATTCTAAGTGTGATTTTACCAGGGGTTTTAGGAGGTAGTTACTTCCCATTAACTTGGCCAAATATATGCACCATGCCAGGAGAGACAGTCATACCTGCAGAGCTGTGTAGCCCTTCTAACCATATTTTGTCATTGTAAGACATCCATGAACATCAGAAAGCATTTAGATGTTGAGCAGCCTATCACTGGAAGCTCACACAGTCTGAATTTCTAGGACACTTTCATCTCATCAGCAAAGCCTCTGAAGTATTTACGCAGGACACAAAAGCATTAGCTGCTTTATCTTCTCCTCTCACACACGCTGTGCAGCTAAAGAGAGTCCTTTGGTCTTTTGTGGCTTTCTGAGAAAAACCTGGCAGAGAAGCCTGTAAGAGTGGAGAGAGCACTGCGCAGCATGGAATGTTCACCTCCTGTAGAATGGGACCTGACACCTGCAAACAGAAACTTCTTAGCACCAGGGAAAATTATCAATGGCACCAAACAAACAAAAAAAATCAAGCTTAAACCCATGTTTTCTGCATGTGGCCTCAATTGCACCACAGTGACCAGCTCCTGGCAGAACTTCCTAATATTTAGTTGGCTCCCCATCTTGGGAAACCAGACCTCTCCCAGCCCTCCTTGTGACACAGGAGGTCCCACCCCTTCTTGGGAATTTTGAAGTCCATTTATAGTTCTATCTCTTTGGTCCCAGCCTCCTTTGAGGGTGAGGAAGATTTAGATCTTACACCAAGAAAGCATGCTTTACGTGCCAGCATAGTGAGAATGGGGGTAGCTCCAGAGCCAGAGGGGTCTCTTTGCAGTGCTAAAGGCAAGAACACAGCAAGCAGTGATTATCCATAATTGAAAGTGTTCAGGATTTTCCTGAGCCTGGCCCTGAGCAACCCAGTCTAGTTTGAGAGTCACTCTGCTGGGAGCAGAGGGGCGAAGTAGAGACCCCGGAGGTCCTTTCCCACCTGAATCTTCCTGTGATACTGTGACTAACAAACAAGTGGGTTTATTTGATTTTGTGGTGTTTTTCTTAGTGAGGCAGTAGAAGATATCTTACAAAAAGATGTAGGCTGCTACCTGCCATGAGGTGCCAAGTGGAGAGGAAATTGAAAAAACAGCTCAGTTGCCACTACATTCTGAATTGCAGTCTGGCACACAATTGTGTTAATCCAGCACAAATGCGTAGTGTTGCAGAGAGGGGCAATCCCATCTTCCCTTTCATCTCTCCTGCTGCCTCTCTTTTGTCAACACTGATGAGCAGCAGAGAATTGATCCAGCTGAAAACTAAACTGTAAAGGAATAAATCCATTTTGATTTACAATGAGTCCTTTCAGTTTAAAAATGCACCATCTCCCTCCCTAGCAATTTTTTGTTCAAAGCAAAGTGGTTGGGGATCACCAAATCAGAGACTTTATTCTCTTCAGGACTATTCTGGAGCACTGCTGTGCCCCTCCTTGCTGTGCCATCATCCACAGCAACTTTCCCAGTGATTGTATTCTTCTGCAAATGATTTTTCATAGCATCACTGCTCCTTTAGTTACCCTCCACTTTTTCATATCTAGCTTTCCCACTAAGAAAGAAACAACATATTCTCTATTTAGCCTGCAGCTTCCAGAGCTCCAGTGTACCATGAGATATGGGCTCCTGTTCTCCTGCCATGATGCACCATGAAAACACAGCACGTGGATCAGACCCACTTTTCACAGTTCCTGGGGACACAGGCAAATAGGCCTAGAGCCAGATCCCTCTGTGCTCTGATCAATGCTCATCCTCCAGCATCTGAAACACGACAAGGTGCCTCTTCTCTGTTGGAGAACCCCAGGTTACTGCCCAGAGTAGAATACAGAGAGGATTTGAGCCCCATGAGCAGAAGGCACATCCTTCTGTGGCAGTTTTTCTCTGAAGGGATACAGTACTGCCAGTTGAGAGCAACAGCAGCAATAAGGATATGAGCCTGGAATATGTGGATTGGCCTTTCTCTCTTTTATGGCACTTTCAGAGATTTTGTTTGCTTAATATTTCTGCTAATGCTCTCCTGCTTTCTGGGCTATCCCTGGTGTCCAGCACTTGTATGTCATCCAGCTCTGCTGTGGACACTGGAGCTTCCAGTCCACTAGGTCCCAAGGACCCTGCAGATGGTCAGACTCTTTCTCTCCAGGTACCCTGGGAGAAACACATTTTGGGAGTCCCACTCTCAGACCAAGGTTCAGCTCCCATCAAAGTACTCCTCAGCTCATACCTGAGTTAAGGCAATGTTTCAGGACCACTCAGCTGCTGCCCCAGCCTCTCAGCAACATGTTGGGTCGGTGCCTGACTCCTTCACCTCAGTGTCAAGGTCACTGTAACTGAGAGCAAAGCTGGCACGTGTCTCCCATCCCTCTTTGCTCTTGAGAAAACCCAGTGCAGCTCTGGGATGTTTGGGAGGCTATTGCATGGTTTTTTATTGGATTAGAAGCATGAACACTACAATGAGAAGGGAGTCAAAATATAACCTAGTTTGCTGCATGGATTTTTGTATTTTATCCACCCCACCCTCTGTGTTGCAAAACATGGAGGTTGTGGCATCAAAAATATCACTTAACTAGATATTGGCCAAGGTACTGATAGCCATAACCATCTCCACAGGTAGCTGTGATGACCAATAATGATTCTGTAATTGTCCCATCTCTCCTTGAGGAAGAATCTGGAGGTCTTTTGAAAGAGAATAGTTACACAGTCCTCCACAGCGAATGCTGGCCAGACGCCAAATATGCCCATGAATGCAGCATATTTTCTTCAGTAATGAAATCATTGGGGGGTTTGTTATGTTTTGGGGTTTTTTTTAGCAGAAATCCAGCCCACAACTTTAGTGAGATCCCCCCAATGTTGTTTCTGACTTTCTAATTCAGGTTTCTCTGGGATATGCAGCTGAGTATTGTCATACAAAGGGTACTCACCTTCTAGCACTGTAAAGAAAGAGGCTGCAGATTTGTCCAAAGACCCCATAAAGCTATGTTTTCTTAAAGGTGCTCTCACGGGATTCTGGGAAGCAGGGCACTGCTGGACTCTCCTCAGTGCCATATCAGAGACCTGTGGTGACTCAGGCATTGCCCCCCTAAAAAGGACCCTTTCAAAAAAGCCTCCCAATCAGGCAGCCAGTCACTCTGCCTCCTCCTAGCACTTCTGCAGTGGCTCATTTTGGTTGTGCCCAGATCTACTGGGAGATGGAAACTTTCTCTTTTCCGGTGCTCTTCTCCTCGCTGCTTTTTGGGACCTGTCACCTCAGATGAATGTGTCCCTTCTCCAAGACCACCCTCTGATGTGTGGTGTACCCAGCCCCTGGGGAGATAACATGCTGCTTCCAGGCATCACGAAGCATGTTTGGTACCCACCCTGGACTTAATTTCATATACAGAATGCACCTCTGGTTGGCGCCTTGGTAGAAACTATCATGGCCCTTTGTGTGGGCAAAGTGGCTTGCATTCCTCTACCTCAAGGGTGCCTATTTTGATGCATTACCCCATTGTGCATCTCACAGAAAGCCTGCCAAGCTGTGGACACCAGCTCTTTCTGCCTCAGGGTTCTGCTGCTTGACCTCTCTGCAGCAACAAAGTGTTGACTTGGGAACCACTGCATCTGTCCCAAGTGCCCAGAGAAGGGCAGCTCCACTACTTCCTCTCTGCAGCTGAGCTTAGATTTCTTTTAGTTCCCTAAGCTTCCCAGTCAGTGCCAGAAATCTCGCAGTTAATCCCAGTCTGATCCCTGAAAACCCTGTTGCCTGTGCAGGCGCCTGTTGGGTACCAACCTGCCCAGCAGCTCTTGCTCACACCACATCCTTGCCAGACCTTCCCTTCTGTTTCCCCAGGTGTGGCTGCTTTTTGTTTACAGTTCCTTGCCATGAAGTTATTAGTTATCTCCCATTAGTAAGGAACTTGGTTTTGCCTGCTATGTTTGCTTTAGCACTGGACAAACAGCAATCAGGATGTTTTACATGAGGTCCTTCTGGCAAGCACTCTATCTCAGGAACACCCAGGCAAGCTGATAACCCAGTCTTCAAGTCATGGCATGGTTTCCTAGATCAGCTGAAGTCTGAAAATAAATTCTAGAGCACCTGAGAAAGTCAGCATAAAGTGGAAGATTGTGACTACTTTCAGATTTGATGGTGCAAGGACCAAAACATGAAAGTGGAATCACTCAGAAAAACACGGTATTACAGAAATCTGGAAACGCAGTGGAAAATTCCTTCAGCAAGACTAACTCAATGATACTGCAGAACAGTGTTTTCTATTGCTATTTTTCTTGGTGAGTGTAGTTTGCATCCATAAGACATGCCAAGAGAGACAAGAAGAGCAATGTATTAAGGCTGTGCACAAGCTGACTGCTGTGGTGAAGTCTGGAACCTGGCTGAAGCTACTAATGCCGAACAAAGGAGCATTTAGTGAGCTGGGCTTCTATGTCCCTGCCCTTGACTACTTCTGTTGCAGCCTGCCCCTCATTCCCCATGGCTCTGCCAGGGTCCCACACATCCCTGTCAGCCTCTCTGCCCAGGGGACCCACGCAGGCAGTTCAGAGAAGATGTCCCTGTGCTGATCTCTCTCTGGTCACTGTTATCTCTGCAGCGGGGTCTCATTCTGGGAGATGACGAAAATGCCATTCGAGGGAGTCAGCATTAAAAATGGGTCGTTAGAGAGAAACGTCACAGTGTCTTTGCTAAAGATAGCCTGGTGCTGAGTAAAACAGTGCCTCTAAAACCTTCCTTTTACAACATGCTCACTCAGCATAATAACCCCTCGGCCCCAAACACCGCTCCCCAGTGCCAGGCAGCTCCTGTCATTTTCCTGGGCTCTCCATCAGTCTCTTGTGACCACCTCTTGGGAAGCTGTAGCAGGATGGGACTACGTCCTCTGCTTTGCTGAGTCTTACAAGAGATAAGCATTTCCTAGAGCATGGATTCCTTTAAAAGTGGTTTTGAGGGCTAGAGTGGAATAGTGCCAGGGTGCCAAGGCTACAAGCGCAGCGAGAGTTGAGATGGAGGGAGAGAGCAATGAGCTCGGTGTGTCCCTCAAGTGAGGCCGGGGGGGGAGCAGATGATGCTGGACTGCAGCAATGTTTGTGTCTCCCCACCACGGTTCCAACTCCCTTCTCTCTCTCTCACCTTCACCCACACGCTCACACCATTCTTGCACTGCTGATTCAAGGGAAAGAAGAGGTTGATGCTTTCTGCTTGAACTGGTCACCACAAACTGTTTTTCTTGAACAGTAGGAAAAAAACACCTCCTGACAACTGTCACAAGTTCTCCCCTATCTTTGCTCCTCTCTTTCTCTCTCATGCGATCCCATGGACTGTGTTACACAAGAGGGCATGTGGGACCACTACAAAGCAGTCCCTCGGGGACATGGAAGCACATGAGGTTGCACCTGTACACCAATCCCACTCCTCAGGAGGCTGGAGAGCCATGTGTGATGAAAGAGATGAGAGCTGTCACTGCAACAGGGGTCTGCTGAAGTGAGGCATAGCACTGGCCCTCTTTTATCCTTCACCTTCACCACTCAGTTGAGGAAAACCAGAGAACAAGCAAGGATCCTTCCACAGTTAAAAAGTGGCCACTATGAGTCACCTCCCTTCCCCCAGCCTGAGGAAAAGCCCCAACACTTGGGGGATGAGCCACCGAGGGGCTTGGGTGTCTGACACATGTCACGAAGGGCTGATTAAGTCCGAAAGAGTCAGAGCAGTGGGCTGCTGGAAAGTGTGAACCACAACAGTGGGGGTTCTCTGAGACAAAATGGGCCCCAGGATGAGGTACATGGATGGAAATGTATTGCCTTATGTAAAGGTCAGCAGCTTAATGGGAGCTAGGTTGAGCCCCCTCTGTGCATGAGCTTGAGTGGGTTTTCCCAGAACTGCTGGAGGAGGAGGGTCCCTTCCTCACACTCCTCGTCGTGCCACAGTATTCAGCCCCTCTTTTCAGTTCTGATTCCTTCTTCTGGATGCTCCTCTCTATCTTCTTGGACCACCTGGGCTTTATCCCATATTGGCCCTGGACTCTAGATTGATGAGTCACATGTGCCCTAGTTGGAGCTCACCACAGACCATTTCCTCATGCTGCCTTTGAACTGACCAATGAGAAAAAGCCAAGAAACTAGCTCATTTGGAGGATTAAAGAAGGAAAGAAAAAGAAAATGAAGGAAAAAAAAAAACCAAGAAGAAAGAACAGCAGAAATAAAGACCAACATGTTCTTGAAAGCCCTGAAACAGTTAGAGAGAAGCTGTAAGAGACGGAAAGATCAAACCAAAAAAGGTAAGAGATGAAAGAAAAACATGAAGGGCACTTGCTGGGAAGTGTCTTCTACACTTTTTCCACTGGCTATGTAGAAGCGAAATTTGTAAGAAAAACAACAGCGACTCAAAGAATTTCCACTAAAAGATGCTTACAGCTGTGTCTCTGGTCCCTCCCTCCCCTGCTCTCACGTGCCTCAGGCTTATACTGGTTTCTTGGTGGTGACGCATCTTCTTAGTGATATGAGGAAATTTGCTGCCCACCTGCAATATAAGGGCATTTAGGGAAATGCTTTGATCAGAGAGAGAGAGAGACACGGCATGAGAGCAAGCACATCCCACTGACCCCTCTTTACTTACCCACCAAATTCTAGCACCTTCTTTGCCCATGCCTCATTTTTGCTGATCTCTTCAAGCTTTGGATCTTGTCAAGCACGGACCCAAGTAGGAGGCAGCCCCTCACCTTTCCTGGATGCCACCATGAGGCCGGTGTCCCTGGTGCTGTTCCTCACCTTTGCCCTGCTGGCTTTCAGTGGTAAGAGGGGATGAACCTATTGGGGAGGGCAGTGTAGCTCAGTAAGCTGAGCCTGTGTGTTACTTGGTCCCCGACAAGACTGGAAGGGAGAGTTTGTGCCCTTCCAATCCACCAAAGATGGCCAGATATTGCCCTGCTCTCTAACTTGCCCTGGCAAACGCGGCATCCCCACTCTTTGCTCAACTCTTTATCTTGTTACAGCTGGTCATATCCAAGCAGGATTAGCGGAGGGGGAAAGCAGGGACCAGAAAATGTGGGTCAGAGAGGGGAGTTCAGCTGTGCTGCCCTGCCACTTGAGCCCCAGAAAAATGAGAAAGACCTTGAAGCAGCTGCCTGACAAGACATCTGTGCAGTGGAAGAGGCATGGGGGAAGGTATGTCAGGGTGAAAAGAAATTTCAGTCCTTCTGGGGGGACTGGAGAGGGTGGGAGACACTTTGAGCCCCTTTTCTCTTTCCCCATCTTCCCTCCTTCCTGCCCCCTCCCTTGATCTAACATTTGCCTCTGGGATGAGCTGCTCACTTATCCCACTTCCAGTGTCCACCAGGAGTCACATGTGGTACTGGAGGTGGGGTACTCAGGCCTCCAGAAGACGGCACTGCTCATGAAGCCCCGGGTGTCACTCCAGGACTCTGCCTTACACAATGGCGATTTCTCCCTGCGGATTGACCCCGTCAGGAGCGAGGACGCTGGGCTGTATGAGGCACGGGTGGAATACAACTCGGAGGTCCATAGCTGCCACGTGGAGCTGGGGGTAATTACAGGTAGGAGAAGATAGAAAACCTGGAGAATGTTGATTTTAGGACCGGGGAGGTTGTAAAGGTGGGATGGGGTGGGGATGCTGCGTTTGGCTGGGCAGGTCAGAGTACAGGCAGCATCCTCCTGAAAGCACACAGCTTTCTGCTGTCTGCTCTCAGTTCTGGAGGGGCGCCTGCCTGTGGGACAAGGCTAAGACAGGGGGACACAAAGAGTTGTGTTGGTAGTTCCCCTGTGATCTTAGCTCACCCCCCACCCCAACACTTTGGTTTTTTGCAGTAACCCTCAGTCCACCCAATCCTGTGGAAGAAAATGAGCCGATCTTGATGAGCTGCAACTCCAGCTACCGGGCCAGCCTTGTGGAGACATGCTGGTTCCATAACGGGCACCTGGGCCCCACCTCCAGGACCTTCTGCTCCTTGACTGGGGCTCTCTCCATCCTGCGGCCAGCCATGAGTGATGCGGGCTCCTGGCACTGCCAGCTTCGATACTCTGATAACGAAATAATTTCTGCCACGTACAACCTGCAAATTCTAGGTGACCTCAACCTCTGTGTTGATATTCCAGCATCCCCAAGTTAATCCCTTTGATGTGACTGACTAACCCCAGTAGCTCCAGCTTCCCATCTCCCACCCTGTCCTCACTTCCCAGGGCAGTCATCTCCCATCTTTCCAGCCACCACCTCACATTGTGCTCTTTCTCTGGCTTAGGTTTTGATGGCCCAAGCAACCCTGTGGTCTATGCTGCAGCTGGCTCTGCAGCCCATCTACCATGCAGCCTGAGCTACCTTCCCAGTTCCTTTCAGATGAACATGGTGACAGCCCACTGGAGCCACCTTGCAGGAGGACACTTGCAAGACTGGGACATCTTCCCGAATCTGAGTAACAGAAGCTTCCCCCTGCATCTCCCTGTGGTGGGGCCAGGTGATGCAGGGCAGTACCGCTGTGCTGTCTCTGTGGGCCACAAAACAATCAGCAGGGAGGTGACCTTGGCAGTGGTTACAGGTGAGAGGAGAGACAAAGAGGTGCATTACCCCTCTGGGGCCCCCCAGTGCTTACAGATAAACCTCCCCACATGTCAGTGCAGTGAGCATGGGTAGCTCCTGATCATGAGTTCCCACCTCGGGGTGGGAAACAAGATCTCTATTGAGAGCATTGCACTGCACTGGAGTCTGCTGAAATCGGTTTTCCTTGGTGACCTGATTATTCCTCTGAAAACTAGGGAAGACAAAGAAAATAAATTAGAGGAAATAATAAAGAAGGGGTGTAATAGAAGAAGGATGGATGAAGAAGAGATGTGGACCTGTCTGTGGTCTTTCCTGAGGGTATTTTTTTTCCTTTGCTGCAGTGACTCCAAGCATCCAAGGACCAGTTTCTGAGGGGAGCCGTTTGCTGCTCATCTGCAGCCTCACACACTCCCGGGGACATGAACGTTTCCAGTGGAAGCACCTTGGCTCAGTCCCCACTAACAGCAAGCTGGCTGTGGCCACCCCCCAAAACCTGGAGGGCAGCAGTGCCCAGATGGGACCTACCTTGGAAATACCCAAAGTGTCACAAAAGGATAGAGGCACATGGGAATGCAGTGTATATGGCCCAGAAGGCCAACTGGGAGGAGTGGAGTACGAGCTGCAGATCACAAGTACTGTCCCCCATGTATTTATAACCAATCTCTTCTTGCCCTATTCAGTTCCCTGGTGCCTTTCCTCTCTCACCTTCTCCCTGTCCTTCTTCCCTTGGACCACTTGGATCCCATCTTCTTGTCATCCTGTCTTAGCTCTCACCAGTCCCTTATGTTGCTCCTTCCAGTTCCCTGGACTCTTTCCCATTTTGCCCATTCCCAGCCTTGCCCCAGGGCAAAATTGACATTCCCTTCCTTCCTAACTGTGGTTCCTCCTCACAGGTGCCCAGGTCTCCATCCCCCCTGCTGTCTTCAGTGGGCAGGTTACTTTTGGGCTCACACTCACCCTCCTCCTTCTGCTTGCTGTCTGTGTTATGGCTCTGGCCCTACAGAAAAGGGTAAGTGTCCATCACCCAATTTCTGTTATTTTTCCTGTACATCAACCCTTATTTGACCTTATTTGGCAGCTCTGGCTAACCATGGTGTTTGTCTGGAGGCAGGTCAGACACCTCAGAGGAGGGATGAAACCTCCTAAGAAACAACCACAGCCCAGCCTAGAAAAGCTTCATGTTTATTATCCCAGAGATTAGGCCACGCTGTACTAGAGAAAGGTTAATTTCCAGGCTTTTGTACGTGTTGTCTCTCTTATTCCTTATCTGGACACTTTAATGTAAAAATCTCCTGTTCTATATAAATGCCTACTGGTGCCCAGACACAGATCTCAATCCAGGGCTGTTGTTTCTGGCTCAGCCCTCACATCTCAGCCTCTGCTTCTGGCAACTTACTGACCTCTGTTTGCTCAGCTTGTTCCGGTATCTTGTCCTCTGAAAACTCTACCTAACCTTTACGATCCCAAAGACCAGGCCAGGGCTAATGGTTCCCACGCATGTCCCCAGAAAAAAAGCTATGCAAACAGGTCAGACCATTGCTCTGCAGTTTTCATACTGTTGCTCTGCAAGTTAATTACATGGCAAATTCATCCTTCAAGGTTTCCTTTTGTTGACAAGAGATGCCTTTCGGGTGTAGGTGTGATGTAGTTGCCTTCTACTTAACTTCTTGGAAAGGGTCCACAGTGAAAAACTCCTTCTAGTGCAGAAGGGGCTGGAGGATTGGAGCGGTCTAAGTTCAAAAGAGCTTGCCCTGGCAAAAGAGCTGGGAGCCTTGGAATTGGCTTGAGCTGAAGACAACGGATGTGTTAGCATTGATGAAAAACCTTAACAAGTCCCAGTGGCTGGAGACTGAAGACAAGCAGCATAGGAACAAAATCAAGGTCGGAAGTTTTAAAAAACCACTGTGGATACCACTAGAGCAGCTCATGACAGGTTCTTCATCATCCATCCTTAATCATCACTGATGGTGAAGGATAATCTGAGGCAGAAATCTACAGTTTCTGTGTGACTCTCTGGGCTGTGCAAGTCCGGGACAAGATGATCAGAACCACCCTTTCTGGCCAAAAACCTTGGAAAAAATCCCTTGGCAGTGTAACTCTAAGGCCTCAGCTAGCAGGAAATAGAACACCTGGGTGTCCGGCTGTTAGTTAAAGTCTCATGCAGCCAGGATATTTACCACCCCAAAACATTTGCATGTGCCCTCATGGCTTTGCTTTGCTGCAAGCAAGGCTCCTGTGTTGCAGCACAGGTCCTCCATCCACAGGTGGTCCTCAACCAGCTCTGGGTGGCCCTGCTTTATCAGGGCATTTGGACTGAATCATGTCCAGAGCTCCCTTCCAACACCAACATCCGGTGATTCTATGATTCATGCCCTTCTCTGCACAGACTCCCCGCTGGGCTCATCCTCCATCAGAGTGCAGATGAGGTGCCTCTAGCAAAGATATCAGCTCTTCTCTGGTTCTCTCCCTCTCTCTGCTGGCATCCTCTGAGATTACATTTGCTCTCCTTGCATTAGCTGGACACTGGATGCTCACCACAGTGTATCATGCACACTCAATGGGCTGTTGCCCACACATTAGGAATTCCTATTCCGATCCCCTGAGCCTATCAACGTGCCATTGGTATTGTTGCATTTCATTCATCCTGTCACTCAGTTTAGTGCTCTGTTCTCCTAAAATATCTGGGTCTTGTGGGATATTTTCATCCTCTTTCTTCCAAATGAGGCTCCTCAGCTCAATCAGCTACCTAACTCATTAGCACTTTCACACTCTCTATGCAAATAATGACTGATCTTTGAAGACTTGTGCTTATCATTTCCCTACAGCCTGACAGAAACATGCCAGCAAAATCGCAGTCCCTTCTTCTTAGCTGGGATTACACCTACCATGCTATTCTCCAACTAATCTCATCCTTCTTGCTGAACTGATTGTCTGTGTGTTGCCCTATACTTCTACGCTGTCAGAAGCCCTGAGATCTACATCTTTTCCATTGTCTAGAAAGTCACTTGTGAAAGTAGTTCTGTCTTTAATTTGTTCTTATCTCATTTTGCACAACCCTTCATGCCTTTACTACTTCTCTCTGAAAAGGTGGTGTAAAATCTGGCATACCATCAAACCTGACATTGGCCTGACCATTGCCCAGATCACTCTTTGCTCTCCCTTAACCATGTCCTGTCTTTGTTATTCCTTATGCTCATGACATCACTGAGGATCATGTTGGGACAGCATTCCCCAGAAGAAACTGCAGGTCTCAGAGAGTGGCTTCTTCCCTGGCTCTAGCAGGGAATGGGAGCCTTATGGTTGCAAGCAGTAGGATCATGTTTTCCATGGCAAGGAGAAGCCCAGTCTACCATGCCATTCAATCTCCCTCCCATACCTGATGTTGCTTCTTTTTTCCTTTTCAGGCACAGACTTCTGCCTTCTCAGCACTGGAAGGGATGATTGCAGTCCCTGGGCCACGGAAGTCAATGAAGGAAAACCAGAAAGGGAAGATCCAACAAACTGAGTGCTGACAGGAGCAGGGACACCAGGGCTAGTCTGCATGGGAGGATGAAACTCTGTGTGCCGTGCTGCAGAGAGATGGGCGCCATGCAGACCTGTCAGGGGGGTCTAAGGATGGCATGAACAATGCAGAAGGCATTGGGAGCTCTGTACCCGCAGAGGGGATGGGAGCTGCCTACCAGGGAAAGGCAAGCCTCACTGCAGCAGTAAGGTGGCCAGCAGCACAGATGCTTTGGAGCTATTGGGAGTATTTGAGCCAGTAGCTATTGCTTGCTTTAGTGCCACATCTCTGCCTACTCTTTGCCCCTCCTTCATGGCTCCTCTCACAACCTTTCTCTGGTGGAACACCAGGATGCAGGAGATGGCTGGAATCTGTCTTTCCTGCAGCCTGACGGTGTTTTCTGCCCCCCTTACTTGCTTTCTTCTCCCTCTGCCCGCACTGCCCTGATCACTGCCCTGTTGCACATTTTGAGAATTTAACTTATTAGAAACTCATTTTAGAACTGAAAATAAATCTATGTGACAAAAAAACCCGCTGGTCCCTGTGTGTGCTTATGGGGGATTGTGCCTATTTGACAGTGCCGGGTGTACCTCTGCCTGTGTGAAGCCATTTCTAAGGCCTTTGCTGCCTTCTCTTTCTCTTTCAGTTCTGTTTTACTGAAGTTGCCTGTTCATTTCTGACATTTTCACAGTGGGGAAGGGGAAATTAAATGCCGCTAGAGAAGAAAGAATCACAGGTTCAGTCTCTCCCTTTTGCTGTGTTTCAGAGTCTTTTTTTCTTTCTTTTTCTCCCATCTGGCTGTCCCTGTTCATTCATTCATTTATTCCTTTCATTCTCACGTTTTCCTGAAAGATCTACAACTGATGTTAGGGCTCTCTGTCACTCTCCTCCTGCTAAGGATGTATTTAGTAATATAAGTGTGAGTCTGCCAGGTCCCATCTCTCAAGACCTTTAATGTGTTTAGCTTTCATGTAGTCAGAGAATGCTCTTCACCACCTCTCTGAAAAGCCATGGAGGACTGTGGTACTGCTCTTGAACAGCCATTACATGCCACCCCAGAAGAAAGCCTCACTAATAAAGAGAGCCACACGTGGTGTCTCCCATATGGGTCCCCAGGCTGTGGCTGCTCAAGGGGGCAGCGGAAAAAAAATTAAGTTCTCAATATTTAAGATGAAAGGTTCTCTTGACTTGAGTAAGAGGGATCAGTAGCATGCCAGATTTTCATTATTTCACCAGGCATATGGTGTGTAGCTTTCACCTTCCCTTTCCAAGAGGGAAGCTGCATTCACAGCTACCGAACGCACTTTGGGATCCTCAGACTGCAGGTAGTGGAGCAGCATCCAAAAAGTCACAACTGGCCCACTCTGAAGAGCATGTCTGGATTCCACAGCTCTTTAGCTAAACAGTTAGCCATGTATTTTGCTGAAAATGACACCCATTTCTCCTCTGAGTCCTAGAGAAATGCATCAGAGCCACGAGGTAGACCAGCCTGCTTCAACCATCCCATGTAATTTCAGTCAGAACCAACAAAACGCACGACAATCCAGCCTGGTACCAGAATTTTCCTAGGCAATTGATAATACTGCAATTTTTTTTAAGGTTGGAGTGATCTGTAGCTCAATCCCCTCTCTCTGCCAGATGTTTTGGAGATAGAGAAAAGGTGGGTGAGTCCCAGTGGGGCTAAAGGGCTGTCTAATATTCATCAGGACCACATCATACTCTCTCAGTGCCTCACAGCAGTTTGCTCTCTCTTCTCATACACAATGGGATGCTCTCTCCTCCTGTGTGTTATACTTTTAGCATTGCCTTTTACCAGCCTGGGTGTTCTCATTGCTCAGACGTGTGCCTGGTCTCTCTTTAAACCTCTCTGTTTCCTTGTACTCTCTGGCTTCCTCCGGCAATCAGTCCTTGGGTCTGCTTATTCGCTGTGTGAAAATGGTTCCTCTATTGGTTTTGAATTCAAAGCTTTCTGGTTTCATCATCTGGTTTCTTTTCTTCTGTCACAAAGACTAGAAGAAGAGGGACTCCCAGATCTATCATATCTTAGATGGTCATTATTTTACCACCTTTTATCACATTTTTTTTTTGTTTGTTTCCCCATCCCCTCCTGACTTATTGCCTTTCAGCTACAAATCCCAGTTTTTGGGGCTTTCTCGCTGACGGCTTGCACAGGCCCATCTCTGTGCATGGCCAACTCTCCTCACACTCTTTGCTCTGGAGGAGGAGACAGCAGCCTGGCAGGGAAGTGGTGCTGATTCACATGGACACACAGTGCCTTTCTCTGCATTACTTCAGTCTGCCCCTTCATGGCTCCCGGTGTTTTGTCTGCTTCTCTGAGAGAAGTTCCCCACTGAACAACACTGAGCTTGTACCCAGCTGTGCCTGTTGTGATGGCCAGGGCTCTTGCCTGACCTGGTGCAGTGTGCGGTTACAGAGAGCAAAAGCCTCCTCAGCTGGACAGGGAAGAGAAAATGTAACAAAAGCCTTGTGAGTCAAGATAAGGGCAGGGAGAGATCATTCACTGATTACCATCATGGGTAAAACAGACTTCACTTGGGGAAATTAATTGAATTTATTACCAACCAAATCAAAGAAGGATATTAAGAAACCCAAACCTTAAATGAAGTCCCTCTCACCACTCTGTTCCTCCAAGGCTTACCTTCAGTCCCAGTTTTCTCCACCTCCTTCCACAGCAGCACAGAGGGACAAGGAATGGGGTTTGTTGTCACTTCATCACAGATTGTCTCTGCCACTCCTTCCTACTCACGGGGAGGACTCCTCACACTCTTCCTCTGCTCCAGCATGGGTTCCCTCCCACAGGAGACAGTTCTCCACAAAATTCTTCAATGTAAGTCCATCCCACAGGCTGGAGTTCTTCATGAACTGTTCCAGTGTGGGTCCCTTCCATGGGGTGCAGTCCTTCAGGAACAGACAGTTTCAGTGTGGGTCCCCTGCAGGGTCACAAGTGCCACCAGCAAACCTGCTCTAGCATGGGCTCCTTTCTCCATGGGTCCACAGGTAGTGTCTGGAGCCTGCTCCAGTGTGGGCTTCCCAGAGGGCCAAAGCTTTCTTTCAGGCATTCACCTGCTCTGTTGTGGGATACTCCACAGGCTGCAGGTGGATCTCTGTTCCATCACAGACCTCCACGGGCTGCAGGGGAGACAGCCTGCCTCACCAAGGTCTTCCCCACAGGCTGCAGGGGAATCTCTGCTCTGACAGCTGGAGCACCTCCTCCCTCTCCTTCTGCACTGACCTTGGTGTCTGCAGGGCTGATTCTCTCACATATTCTCACTCCTCTCTCTGCCTGCAGTTGCTCATTTTTCTTCCACCCCTCTTAACCATGTTATCCCAGAGGTGCTACCTCTGTTGCTGATGGGCTTGTCCTTGGCCAGCAGTGGGTCCATCCTGGAGCTGGCTGGCACTGGCTCTGTCAGACACAGGGGATACTTCTAGCAGCTTCTCACAGAAGCCAACCCTGTTGCTACCCTGCGACCTAAACCTTGCCATGCAAACCCAATACACAGAGGCTGAAAACTTTGAAAAAACACAGGAAATCCAGTGGATTCCCTTTTGGCAGAGAGGGGACCTTAAGGAATGCAAAGAAAGTGTTATGCATGCAAATTCCTTTGCATATGACTCCTCCAAAAGGAATGGGAAGACAATCTTTAATCCCAAATTAATCTTTTTTTGGTAAGAAAGATCAGCACCATCAGAAAAAAATCATAACTAGGTCCAGATGTTCTGCATCCAGGACTTCTCAGGGATTTACAGTGAGAGGCTAAGTAAGTGCTAGTGAATAGCGTAATCTGACAGAGGAGCAACTAGAAACACACCTATTGTGGTCTTGGTACATTCTGTACAGCCTTTTAAAACCAATAAAAAGTTAGAACCAGATCTCCAATTATGTAGTATACTAAGGCACATTGAGTTTTATACTTGCTTGGCAAAATTGTGGGAACAATTTCAGCACCAGTTCTGCAAAAAAACCCCAATGACTTACTACTCTGCTTGTATTTCTTCAGCACTTTTACAAACACACCCAAAATATCTAGGGTTCTCAATTTTGCCCTCTAAAGGTTCCCTCAAACCAAGCTCCTTACAGGAATGTTGTTGTTGCAGGTACTGCATTTCATGCCACCTACTGAGATTCAAAGCATCTGGGGCAGTCTTTTCACAGTTGTGGATTCCATCATACTCAAGAGCTTCTCTCCGTGGTTTCCATCTTGCTGGCCTGTCAGTTCAATGCGACTCACTCCAGAAGCTGTCATATGGTGCACTCTGAAAGGGATGCCACTTCCACCTGAACAGATGGGTTTCAGAGGGTCTTAGGGAAAGAGGACCTGGGTGCCTTCCAGGAACACTGGCAGGAGGTGACACACAAGGATAGCTTCTGGGAGGATTTGTTAATTCTCATTCTCACCGAGGTTTCTCATGTTCCTCTTCTTTTACAGGCACTGTGTGTCTTCCTCTCTTGTCACCAGGTCAGCATCCCCCTTTTTGCATGGAAAATGACACGGGTTTTGGACCAAGGAGAAGGCATCAGCAAACTCCCTAACAAGCTCTGGGGGCTGTCAGGAGCTCAGCTAGGACCCTCCACTCGGGCACTCCCTAGCCCTTTAAAATCCTAAATTAGATATTAGGAAGAAACTCTTTACTGTGAGGGTGGTGAGGCACTGGAACAGGTTGTCCAGAAAAGCTGTGGATGCCTAGTCCCTGGAAGTGTCGAAGGCCAGGTTGGATGGGGCTTGGAGCAATCTGGTCTAGTGGAAGGTGCCCCCAGATGATCTTTAAGGTTCCTCCCAACCCAAACCGTTCTGTGGCTGTATGAAATCGCACTCCCGCAGCGCTCTGAAGGGGCACCTACGCTCGGGAGTGAGGGCGCGGCAGGGGCCGGAGCCTGCAGCTGCTGCTCCTACACTCCCTCCTGGCACAGGGCTACTCTCCTTGTCCCGAGCCAATGCCGCCATCTACTGTCCTCCTATGCCGGGATTCTCCCGCCCACACGCGCCGCGCATCGAATACATCCATCCCTGGTGCCTATTGGGCTGCGCACTCCGTGACTCAGCTCCCCAAGGACCGCTTGGCACGCCCAGGTCCTTCCCTTCTTTTGCTTTCAGCTGAGGAAGCTAAAGCAAAATTTCTCACAGTTACTGTAACCTGATGGCGTGTGCCATTGACTTGCAAGCCGCTTTAATGCTCCCAGCCCCAAGCTGCTTCCAGTGTGATATTCCAGAACCTCTGTGCTGATGAAACACCTCCGTCAAAACAAATATTGTCACTAGCTTCTCCCCCTTCCTTTTGCCAAGGTCACTAATAGTGAGATAGATACAGTTCCTTAAAAGCTTCCCCAGCTACCTCTCTCCTGCCTGTTGCATTTCTGACACATCCTTAACATCGGATTGGTTTTGTTTAGGCTGGCTTTAGCCCCTGTCACTTTCAGTGACACACTTTTGCAGTTGGTGGTTCCTGGACAGTTCCTCTTTCCAGTGCCCTCTGAGTAGTCCCTGACTTCCCAGCACACCTGGCTAGTTTTGCTCCATCAGACTTCACACCTCCTGCCTAAATACAGGGGGCTCCTTGCTCATAAAGAACATCTCTGCAGGTTTCCCGATTTTCCGCTGTGATCTGCAGATGAACCTTCATGATATCTGCTTAGAGAATCCTCTCTTCCCAATCAGGCTTCTGCAGAGAGACTCCTAGTGCCTGCAGAGAGGTATCTCCCTCTGGCACAACCTAGGAGCCTTCCTCCCTTCCAAGCAACATAGCTGTGCTAGGGCAAATCACCAGGCCCCCTCATCAGAGGGCTGGTTGTTTCTAGCTCCCCATATCTAGTGTCAGAAATGCCCCTTGACAAGCTCACCAGGTGTCGGCTATTCTGTTACAAAGAGACTGTTCCTGGCCTTTGAAGCTGCTGACAGTCAGGTGTCTGAAGACATGGTTGTTATGCTGTGTTCAACACTTGTTCTTCCTTCTCTCCAATACAACTGAGAAATCACTAATTTTCCAACACATCTGGGTATCCTTCACCCACCAGACTTCACAGGCACACTTGGAGTCCTCACTCATGCAGGGGGAGCTTGGTTTTAAGGAGATCATCTCTGGAGGTATCTTGGCTTTCCATCGGAGCCAGTAAAAGGTCCCTCTCAACATCCGATTTCTGAAACCCTTTTCTCCCTTTTTCTCATTTCCCTGGAGAGATTTTGTATCCCTTCAGACTGTGACCTTCACTCAGTATAGCCTGGGAGCATCTTCTCTCTGCTGAGAGGATCTGTTAATCGCCAGCTCTAGCTTGCAAAAATATTGCTGGTGGTGGGATTAGAGCAAAGAGAGACAGTGCAGAGTGTCTCTGCAGGGGATAAAGCAGGGAAACATGACAGTCACAAACTTGTTGGGAGAGGGAGCAGTGTGCAGTGCTCAGGCTCTTCTCGCTGTGCCGCAGGGTCAGTGTGTGATGCTTGCTAAGCCCCGCTTTCCCCATGGGTGCAGTACAGCAACTGTCCCAGTGAGGTGAGAACCAGACTCACACAGAACTTAAAAACCAATTAAATATTTATGAGGAATATTACATTCAGAAGAGAGACTGGCTGGCTAATATTATTCATCCCTTCTGGATTCTGATGTTTAATTAATGCTTGCAAAGTGCTTTGAGAAGCTTGGATGAAAGCGATACAAACACGTCATCACACACTGTGACCCTTGGTCCCAGAGGTACCTGTTTGCCACACAGCTGGAACAGCTCCAAGAGATGAATTCCCTCTTTGTGATGAGAGTGGGTCCATGTGGGGGCTAAGCCTGAAGCTTCGTCACCTCAGACTCACAGCCTTACTTCTCCTTGTAACTCTGCAACAAGTTCAAGTGCATTTTGCAAGCTTTACCCCTTCGGGGAATGCTATTTCTGGTAGATATTTGCAGTGACATAAACCAACTGTTTAAAAACAAGTCAGTGTTTTTGCATTACAGCATGCTGGGGAGACAAAATGCCAAACAGAATCTGTGCAAACTGAAGCACCAGCTCAATGCCCCAGGGCCTCAAGCACCGAGATGCCAAGGCCTTACCATCCCAACCTGAGTTTTTTCAACTCTTTTTTCCCAGGACAGCCTCTCTCTGGCAGCTGGGGACCAGAAAGGATATTTCTGTTTGACGCATGTGAGAGAGTTTTGAAGATGCTGATGTGATATGTCAGGTAGTCACAGGAGAGCTGTGTCTCAGAATAGGACTTTTACAGGCTCTGGATGCTGGCAAAGTGAGTGCCCATCCCATCCCATCCCATCCCATCCCATCCCATCCCATCCCATCCCATCCCATAGCCTGTATCCCACACTGGGAAGTTACTGTTTCATGTGAGTGGCTCTTTCTCTGAGATGGGACGTCATCTTTCTCCAGTGTCACAACCAACGGATCAGCTCTTGCGCTCGAGGCCTGATCACTGCTGTTCCTTCCACACCTGGTGTCACATTGTGAACCTCAGTGCTGTGAATGGTTGTCCCTGCTCCCCCTGAAGCCTGACTGCATCTCACACCCCCATCCTCCAGTCAAAGGGGCAAAGTCACTGTCAGGAGGAGAAGAGTGGGTGGCACAGAGATGAAATCTCAGCCATGGCTGGGGCTCAGTGGGTTTCCGCTGTCTTGGCTGAGGCTGGGATTCAGAGAGAAAGAGAGACCAAATGTGGGTGGAAAACCACAAAAGCCCCCTCCTCCACCCTGCAGAGAAGGGAAACAGCTGAGATTCAGTAGCAATACAGGTTACCTAAGAGTAACCTTGTATTGGGTTTTCAGGGCAAAGTTTTGGTGGAGGGGCTGCATAGGTGGCTTCTGTGAGACGTGAGCAGGAGCTGGCCCCATGTCAGTCAGAGCCGTGTCCAGACAGCCCCAAAACAGACCCACCACAGACCAAGGCTGAGGTCATCAGTGGTGCTGGTGGCACCTCTGTGGTAGCATATTTAAGAAAAGGTAAAAACCCGTGTGCTGCAGCTGTGAAACACAGGAAGGAGAATAGATGGGAGAAATAGCTCTGCAGACACCAAGGTCAGTGAAGAAGGAGAAGGAGGAGATGCTCCAGGTGTTGGAGTAGAGATTCCCCTGCAACCCCTGGGAAAGACCCTGGTGAGGTAGGCTGACCCCCTGCAGCCCATGGAGGTCCACATTGGAGCAGAGATCCACTTGCAGCCCCTGGAGAGTCTGCACTGGAGTAGGTTTTCTGGCAGGAGCTGTGGCCCATGGAGGACCCACACTGGAGCAGTCTGTTCCTGAAGGACAGTAGCCCAGGCAGAGGACCCACACTGGAGCAGTTAGAATCATCAAATCATAAAACATCCCACGTTGGACAGGACCTTGAAAGATCATCTGGTCAGCCTCTCAGTGGTGATGCAGGAGACAGGCTGTGAACTGGAGCTCAGCCTGCCCTTACAGAGTATTGGTGGTGCAGGCTGGGGCCGGATCTGCTCAGCTGACATGTCAGTGTATGAGATTTCTTCGTCAGTGGAGCAGAACCAGTTTCCAACCATTCATTTTTAAATTTCAGCCCCGTCACGGCCTCCCATCTGCCGCCATATGGCCAATAGGCTCCCTCTGTTTTGCACACTCATTCTCCCCACCACTGCCATACATCGTCTTCCGTTATGGTCTTCATTTCTGTTCACACCCAGAGTCGAAATCACATGCATTTGGAAAATCATCATCTACCTAGAGAAGCCAGCGGATGTCAGCAGAACCTGGACTGGCAGCAAGACCTTGCTGACGCTCCGGCTGGAGAGGAGGAGACATCAAGGCCAACATCTGTTGAGCTGTTTGCTGAACATTAACTTCGTTCTTCTTTTGTTTCAGCTGTAGCTGGGTAAGATCAATTACGGCAGGTGACAAACACAAGGAGACAGAAACGCAGAAGCAAAGAGAAGAGAGGTAAGGAAACTATCTTTCACTGAGAAAAGAGGCTAATCTGTTTTCGGGGGTTTTTTAATGTTATGAACTTTACTTTTCCACACAAATTGCTGTTTTGGCACAGATAGACTGGTTTTGCCCCACTCAAAGGTCTGTTGCAAAACCACCTTAAGCTTTTGACTTGATAATACTTCTGGCTGTGCAAATTCTCCGAGGCCCTTCAGTTTTAACTAAAAATTGTTTGTCTTCCCACATTTTTCCCTGAAGGAGGGAAAAAAAAGGGGAGCTACAAAAAGCTCAGCCTGCCTCAGAGCCTGGGGATCTCATGGATCCTTTAAACCCATGTATAGGGAAGTATGTTCTATATGAGGACCTGTCACTGGTGACGGTATATCCCCAAGGACTGGTAATGCACTGGGGAGCAGCCCTCTACCAGCTGCCACTTGCTATCACCTTCTTTGCACGCCCTCCAGGAAGGGGAACTTTATTTTAAAAAAAGCCTGGAAAAATAAGAAGATGCTAGTTTCCAGCTAAGTAGGGATGTCTACTTGCATCTGTACATGCTGAGACTGGAGGGGTCTGTTCTGCTTAATCGAGGCTGACTGGCTCACTGCCTGACACTGGCTGCCGATGCAGCCTGATCCATTAGCTCAGGGCTGAGCGAGCAGGATTTCTTGGAGAAAGAGGGATCCTTTCAATTTAAGGACAACAGAAAAGAGACTTGCCTTCTCCTTCCATGGGCTGCTGCACTGTTGAAAACAGGAGTTTCATATCTGGTTGAATTTTTCAACTTTCAGACAGCATATTCTACTCAACCTTCGTCAGCCATCTCAGATATTCCTCCACACGGTGCATTACAGTTGAGTTCAGATTATTACTTAGTGTTCTCCACTGTAAACCAAACAGTCCCTGGTGCACGTTAGAATCATAGAGTCAGAGAATGGTTTGGGTTGGAAGGGACCTTTAAAGAACACCTAGTTCCAAAGTTCCAATTATCCCCCTGTCACAGGCAGGGACAATTTCCACTTGATCAGGTCTCTCAAAGCCCTGTCCAACCTGGCCTTCAACTCTTCCAGGGATAGAGCAGCCACAACTTCTCCAGGTAACCTGTTCCAGTGCCTTACCACCCTCCAAGTAAAGAATTTCTTCTTAATACTTGATCTAAACCTACACTCTTTTAGTTTAAAACTGTTCCCCTTTCTCCTATCACTATTTGTCCACGTAAAAAGTCACTCTCCATCTTTTTTATAAGATCCCTGAAAGTATTGAAAAGGCTGCAGTGAGGTCTCCCTGACTTTTCCTTTATTCTCCCCTGTGTTTCACAAACATGGCCGCCAAAGCTGCCTGCACTGCAGAAGGGCTTGCGTCATCTGAACTAAATCCATCCCATCCCCACTCAGGGATCTTGAGCACTGAGGGGCAGTGTCCGTCTGATCTTCCGCAGTCTCATGCAAGGACCCTGTATTCACCAGGAAAAATTAAGGAGGGATGAAACCTGAACATCTTCCTAAGCACATACATGGCTTGGAAGGGTGATGGAGGGTCGGATTTCAGAGGACACCACAGTGCCTTGGCTACTCACAGCCTCCAGTGGCTTTAGAAAGGCAGGACTTGGCTTCTGCTTAAGCCATCAGAAGGGTTAGAGGCTGTAGGGAGCAGCCTGGGCTGAGGAGATGGAGACACTTCTCATGCCCTCCATGTGGTACCAGGCACATGGCCGGGTCAGGAGGACTTTATGGCTGAACGGAGCTCACTGCTGACACAGTGGCCTCAACACCCTGCCTTGTCCTGACAGAGAGACCTCTCTCCAGGAAGATCAGCTGCTTTCACCTCTGTGATTCCATGGACACTGCACCTCCACCTCCCTCTCACAGCAGCTCCAACGGGAGGATGGCAGCTGCTCTTGGATGAGCAGCCAGAGCCACGCAGGAGGAAAGGGGGGCAGGATTGGACAGTCTGGGGGGACAGTGGGGACTGTGAAAATTCCTTCACCACTATCATCACTCTGCTCTCTGCTGGCTATTTTTATTGCATTTGGTCTTTTACCTTGCCTGCTGCTCATCTGATGTTTCCTTCAATGATAAAAATAATTTGAAAGAAATTACTACTCAGTTAAAGAGCCAGATCACCTTTGCTTTAGATACTTAAACTGAGAAAAAGAGAGGTGAAGCCCTTTAACCCAGAGCCCCAGAGCCAAGCCCAGCTGCTGTGCAGGGACAAGAGGCAGCTCTGTCCCTCAGCCCTCGCCTGGCAGCCACCGCAAGGGGAAATGCCGCAGCGGAAGCTGAGGTGTGGAGCCCTGGTGTGGAGGCCCCCCTACCCCGGCAGAGCGAGCTGCTGCCAGATCAAAAGCACAGCCACAATCAAGAGTGAGAGAACAAAACCACACTGCATGAAAGAGGCACAGGAACACCGAGAGGAGATAGTCTTCTCTCCATCAGGAGTGGTTGCTGAGCTTTTTCTTTGTTTGTTTGTTGTTTTTTTTTTAATTTAATTTCCTCCTGTGTCATGCCAGTGCCAGCCTGGGGTGGGGGGTCTCTGCAGCCATCACACACCGCAGCTCGATGCTGGAAGGAGCAAGGGGCTGCCAGCCCTGCTCCCAAACAGATGTTTTCCAGGCCTGACTTTGTCCTGCAGGCATCATTCCCCACAGCAAGACCACTTACTACCTCAGCTCTCCTTTTCCTATCCCTCAGAGAGGCAGGGAACGTTAAAATAAGTCAAGAAGGAAATTAAACCAGTATAATAAGAGGGAGAAGTTAAAATGAAATGGAAATCAATGTTCACTTGGGAGGGAGCCCTGCTCCTCCATTGCTAGATGTGCTAATAAATCAAGTATGCCTGGACTGTTTCTGGCACAGAGGCCAGCTGGCATGAGATGGTCTGGGCTATTAAACTCAACCTCCAAAATGAACTGGCCACATGCCAGCCACCTAATGGGAGAGGTCCCTGGCCCATGCTAACACCAAAATGCATCCCAGGAGTTGCTCAGGAGAGCAAGAGTTGTCCCGGGCCAAAAATGTGTCAGGAAATGTACTAGCAGTTTAACAGGACTGATGAGTATGTTCCAGTGCCTGGGGACATTCTGTGACACCACTTAATTTATGAGCACCACCATAAGATACGGCTGGGCTGCCTGTAAGGAGGCTGTGGGTCTGCTACAGGCACCCGCTAATGAGAGCAGCTTGCTCAGTTAACACAGCAGAGCCTCACTCGCCCAGATCTGTAAGCTGCAGAGTAGCACTGCCTGTGATCTGGCCTG